GCCCATCATGGCTTGGTTGATTGAAGTTTCCCCACCACACTTTTCAGTAAGTAGGAGAGGATGCGGCCTTAGGCAGGTGCTCTCCCCGGGAGTGACTTATGAAGTCTTCATAGAATTAACGTGCCATGGTTGAAATAAACCCATTCTCATTACTGTTATTTTGGTGCAGTGGAAGTGGATAGTGGGGAAATTACCTTCATTGCACCTGCACCACAAACAGTGTTCCCAGCAGAATACAGTAAAGCCAGCCAAGAAGCCGCAAGGACACCCAAAGCCCACCCAGTTCACGCGATTCTACAGTGGTGTAGATCTCAAACCCAGAGACCACAAGCACTGATTGAGGGGTGGGAAAGATGAGCTCTGAGCTTCATTCCCTTCCCGCTTCATTCTTTGACAAGACAAAATACTATTGCTATCATCCCACCAACACGGAGGCCCACGCAGCATTTTGATGCATCCGGAACATTCCACTGCATGGATAGTATGGTTTCCTTTCTAACTCGGTTTCCCTTTACTATGTATAATTTAAAAAAAACCCACTACCCTACTAATTTGAATTCTGAAGCAAATGCAATCCCTCCCCCCAGCATTGTTTGGAAGAGGGTGGCTTGTCCTGGCTCCTGCTGAATTAGGCAAACTCCCAAAGCCTTGCAAGAAACCTGAAGCGTTTGTTGTCTTGGAGGTGACCAAGTCTGAGAAAGGGGCCTAAAATAATTTTGCAGCAGCTATAGATGTTGCTTCGTTCCCACACCCTGGGCTGGCCAGGAACAGGCCAGCCCTTTTCATCTCACTCAAATGTCCTCGATACAATGACACGGAGACATAATCCAGCCTAAAAGTTTTTGTATCTTCTTAGCCAAAAAAATCCAGGTAAAAAGAAATAACAAACTGGGCCTCTGCACCATATCATTAGATCCAGATCGCTGGGAATCCTACAGCCATCGCCTCTCATCTGTTGGAAAATTCCTGTGAATAATTTCCAGTTAAGCTGCACCCCGCTCGGAGCAAGCACATGCGCCCCTCAGCCCAAACTTTATTGAACAGCAGCAAACACACGAAGCATTTAACTGGCAACCACAGGGAGATAGGGAGACACGAACCGCAGGGAAGAATATCTATCTCTACATCCAAAGGACACCAGGAGACCCTCCTCTCTTCTGCACCGTGGAAGAAATAATTCAGCGAGCGAGGATGATGAACCCATTATTCCTTCTCCTCAGCTCCATGCACCAAGTGTGCATCACGATGGGTTGCACCACCATGCATCAATTCAGCGCTTTCTGGAGACTGGCTTAGCCTGCACGTCCATCCCCGTCTCACCTGCTCTCCCTGCCCCTTTTCTCGCATGCGTCCCACAGAGAGCAGCTGAACATCTCCAGGTTCCTCCCTGGCTCTGGACCGCTTGTGTCTTATACATCCCATGCTGTTCTTGCAGAACATGGTTGGGAGTAGGGCTTTCATGCCATGATTTCTGCAGCCATGCAAGCTCCCTGCAGGCTTGTTCCACAGAGCAATACTCAGCCTTAGCAGAGGAGAGAGGGGCTATGCACGCGGTGGGCACGGCCCCATAAAAGCACTCTAACCTGCGGCTGATTTCCTGACTGATTTATCTCCAGCTCAATTGGGATCTCTATAGCCCACACATTTTGGTTTACCAGGTACAGGCAGTTTTAAATGAAAGCCCATGATTTCTTCTAAGGATCTGTTGTCCAGTCCTCTACTGTTGGCATACAACCCTTTCTTTTCTTTTTTTTCAAATAATTTTATTAAGAACTATAAATGAAAAGAATAAAAGGCAATACAAAGCACAAAAAATACAGACAGGAAAAAAAGGGGGGGGAGGGGTGTGGAAAAGAAAAAAGGAAAAAAGAGAACAAAATAACTTCCTCCTTCATCCCAGCAAGTAAAGACAAATTTAATAGCCTATCACCATCTCTAAATACAACATAATCTCTCTTCTCCCCATAGCTCATCTCTTAAGTAAAAAAAAACAAAACCCAAATGCTGTGTCAATCTTTCTTTGTCAGCAAAAGTCCAGTAAGGGCAACCAGATATAACTATTTTCCTCTTTTAGCCCCGATTGAACAAACCAACCTTGTGTCCTTCCCACAGTTTTTAAAAATATTCGTTAACCCTTCAAAGAGAGTCCCAGAAATAGTTTGTTGGTCATCTGTGTTTCAAGGCAAAAACCTTTCAGAGCTTTAACAAATTTCTGTTGTATATCCAATAATCCTTTTGCTTGTCACTTGTAATAAAGTCCTTTAAAACCTAAGCAGAGCTCTTTTGTATGTCCAGTAAGAAAAAAATTATTCAAATCAATTCCTGGTTTGATATTCTGTAGTCACCCATCAAATCCATTTGTGTTGCATTTAAGTCCCCCTTCCAGGTAATCTCATAGACATCCATTGCAATTTGTTCTTGTTCTATATCTTCATTACAACACATTCTGCCATCTGGTCAAGCAATTGATCCATTCTTTTAAGAAACTTAATAGAGAGATACTCAAAAGTTTGCAAAATAGATTTCTGCTCCGATAGTCTTATCCGCCCCACAGTCTTTGTCCTCTCGCTCCCTCTAGTGTCCAACCTTCAAGGTCTCCTTAAGATAAAAAAAGCCAAAACAGTCTCCTTATCGTAAAAAAGCCACGACAATCGCCCTTTTCTTATGAGAAAATATCTTCTAATTAATTCAAAGCTGTAATTCCAAATCGCTCTGGCCCCTTCATCCGTTGTTAACTTTCCCAAAATCATATACTAAGCACCCTTTTGCTGTATAGTCCAAGAAATCATAGATTTTCGAAACTCTTAAAATCGAACTTACGCCATCGTCCTCTGAGGAGGAGGAAACTCGCCCGATGAATACAGTAAACCTTGGCCGGCCCGAAGAGTCTTAATGTCCCCAGTAAGCAAACAGGCAAACAAAAATCCAAAAAAGCGACTAAGAAAGGAGGCTGGGTCGAGCCCAATGTCCGCGAAAGGCCGCTATGCGGGTGTCCCGACTCCCACCAGCCGACCGCAAAGCGGCAGTTGCCGGGGTCTACTCGTGAGCAGCGGCTGTCTGGAGCCACCTGGACGACCTCAACAATTTCTCCTTCTTCGGGAGAA